GAGGCTTAGAACCAGCACCTGCTGTGGAGTTTGAATCAGATAGGATGGGGTCCTAACCACCTCTCTTCTCCCCGGGCAGATTCCAGCCTCACTCCCCACGCCCCTGGCTACCGGCTGCTCCGCAAGATTATGCCCCCTGTCCTTTGGTGAAGGAGTTGAGTTTGACCCCTTACCACCGACGGAAGTAAGGTAAGTATAGCAGGTTCTGATTTCATTTTTTAATTTTTTAGTTTCATTTTTGTATTGCAGAAACTCATACTAAAGACAAATGAGTTAATTACAAAGTGTGCCCAAGATTAGTAATAGCACGGGGGTGGGGGGGTACCTTTCTGTTTCCCTTCTTTTTCGCCTCAAACTCAGGGTCACAGAGGACAATTCTAGGGCAGGGTAGCACGGCCCCTGCGAGTTTCTGAGACTGTAACTCTACAGGAGTAGAGAGCCTCGTCTTTCTCCCAAGGAGCAGCTGGTGGTTTCAAACTGCAGACCTCTCGGATCCCAGCCCAACACGTAACCACCACGCCGCCGCCAGGGCTCCCTTCTTTGTGTACATAACCAATTAAATACGTGGTTTTGTTCTTTTTAAATGAGATCTGGTTAGCCATCAAGATCGGAACCTTTTTTCTCTTTGCATATTACAGTCATCAGGTATTTATAATCTGTTCTTTTTTACAATAAACAAACCTACCGCATTCCTTGATGTTATCAGGGGTAGGAGGGGAAGTCGCTGACTAGAGGATAGACAGGTGTAAGGAAAAAAAAAGATCCCAATGTCATATGTTTCTACATTTTTCAAAAATTTTAGTAAGACCTTTCATATTGATGTTTAATTCATCTGGATCGTTTTGTTTGTGTGTGTGTGGTGGGAATGCAGAGGGGCTCTGGTTTAGTTTTAAAATGTCGGTAAGTAGCTGTCTCAAAAAAAAAAAACCACCCTCCCCCAAAGCTGCTCCCTTCCAGGTGCGGTGACCTGGCTTCAGGTTATAATGTCCCTCAGGCGGGTGACATTCTTCTCTGGGGAATTTATCTCATCCAGGATTTTTGTTGCTGTTCTCAGTGTTGGGTGGGGGATGCTGATTCCAGGGGATTTTGGGTATGACCTGGGGCCTGAATCCCATGGGGGCAGAGATGCCCGGAGGAAAAAACAAACCTCTTTGAGTTGATTCTGACTCATAGCTCTGCAGGGAGGGGTGCCTATCAAGATAGGCCCCTTTAGAGAAAGGAATTCTGCTGCCCGTCCCTGGCAGCTTTGTGGCTGGCGTGGCCATTGCAGGAACACAAAGGGCCCTTTGACACAGCACAAAGGAAGCCTCACACTTTGGAGGTGAGGAGTCAAGCCTTGTATTCCTGTGGAGCTTGGATTTGGAACCAAACAGGGGCCTGCCTGCAGGTCCTTACCTCCAGCCTGCTTCCTCCCTGTTTGCTCCGGGAGACCGGCAGCGGACCTCAGGGAAGAGTGAGCCAGGCGCCGTTTGGATTCACCTGCCCCGAGGTTGGGGGTTGGGTGCATCTGCACGTGACACGCGCACGTCTTTAAATGAGCATGACGTGGCAAGAACGCCTCGATGAAAAGATGCATTCATGCTTCGTTTCCATTGAAAAAAAACAACTCCTAATTCACGCACACACACATCAAGCCCGTGGTGGATGGGTCAGCTCCAACTCTTGCCAACCCCTGTGAAGGGCAGCTGGGCTCCCCCCTTAGCATCTTCAATGGCTGTGACCTTTGAGCCAGGGGTGGAGGGGGTTGTGTGGTTACCCATTGGGCTGCTAACTGCAAGTCAGTATCTCAAAGCCCCTCGCTGCTCCACGGGAGAAAGACGAGGCTTTCTTCTTCCGTAAAGAGTTACAGTCTCGGAAACCCATAGAGGCAGTTCTACCCTGTCCTACACGGTTGCTATGAGTCGGCATCCACTCGATGGCAGTGAGTTTGGGGTGACCTCTGGGAAGCAGATCGCCAGGCCTTTCTTCTGAGGTGCCGCTGGGGGGACTCAAACCGCCAACCCTTGGGCCAGTAGCTAAGCATCTCCGTTTGCATCACCCAACCCAACCAATCCACACGCACTGCCCCAAGTCGATTCTGATTCACAGCGACCCTAGAGGGCAGGGTAGCACGGCCCCTGGGGGTTCCCGAGACTGAGACTCTGTACAGGAGTAGAAAGCCTGCCTTTCTCCCGCAGAGGTGGTTGGTAGTTGTGAACTGTTGACCTTGCAAAGAGCAGCCCAGTGAGTAAAGGTTCCCTGCACCGCCCAGGGCTCTTTAAATTGACTTACAAAATCAAAGAAGGCAGGAAAGTGGATGTTAACTTCTTTTATAGAAACCAAGATTGGCGTTGGCTTTGGCTGCTGCAGTAAAATCGCTGAGACCCTGGCCTTGAGGGGTCTCCACACCGTAGGTCCAAAGGAACATACCCCCAAATCTGCCGATTGTGTCCATTCTGACGCAGAGGCACCTATAGGGCAGAGTAGAACAACTCGGTAGGGTTTCTGAGACTGCAAAGATGTACGGAAGCAGACAGCCTCATCTTCCTCCCCTGGAGCGGCTGGTGGGTTTAAACTGCTGACCTCGTGGTGGGCAGCCCCCCACGTAACCCACTGTGCCACCAGAGCTCCAAAGTGGGCCAGTGACTGGTTCAGAGCAGAGCTCCACTTTCAGAAGCAGCTCTGAGGTTTCTACTGCCACCATCCTCTCATGGAGGAGCTGCCTGGTCCCTTGAGGGGACAGAGAACCCACGTCTGGAGCTGCAGAGTCACCCTCCACCCCACCCCCCCACTGCCTAATAATTACCACTCATAGCTCTTGCTGGGTGTGAGCACCTGCTTGGTTTTAGGGGTTTGGGGAGAAAGAGGAAAAGGAGGCTTCGAAACACTGAGTAAGCAGTGGAGGTCTCAGCCGAAGTCCGTGGCAGTAGAACCCGGTTGCTGCCTGGGACGAGGTGTGGCAAGTGCCAGGCTACACTCTGGAATCCTACGCACCTGGATTCCATTCCCAGCTTTCCCAGCCGGGCTGGTGCACAGTGAACACAACTCGGTTCTCCTCCCAGGGTTCTCGGGAAGATTAAATTAGATCTCAACACAGAAAGCCATGAGGACAGGACCTGGCACACAGTAGGCGCTGCTCTTCTGTGCCGAGGAGCTGCATCTCAGCATTTTGTGCTCCTGAGGTGGCTCGTGGGCACAGGCAAGGACCCGTGTCCCCAGCTCAGAGGAGTGACCTCAGGCTGCCTTCTCTTTCCGACACAGGTACACTTCCTCGGTCAAGTACGACTCAGAGCGGCACTTCATCGACGACGTGCACATGCCCCTGGGCCTGGCCGTGGCCTCCTGCAGCCAGACGGTCATCTGCGTTCCCAACTGCACGTGGCGCAACTACAGGGCCGAGGTGCGCTTTGAGCCCCGCCACAGGCCCGCCCGCTTCCTCAGCACCACCATCGTCTACCCCAAGTACCCCAAGACCGTCTACACCACCACCTTGGATTACAACTGTCGGAAGACGCTGAGGAGATTTCTGTCCAGCGTGGAGCTCGAGGCCACGGAGTTCCTGGGCAGCGACTGCCTCTCGGATGAATGCTGACTCCAGCAGGCCGGGCCGGTTCTTCCGCTGCCCAGGTCCCCAGGTGACCCTGGCCCAGCTGGGCTCTGCTGTCCTCCCGTGTGTCCTTCTGGCCCCAGAGGAGTCTAGCCTAGCGATGCCGCTAAGCCGAGCCTGAGGAAGTAACCAGATAACCATTGAATGTTAGCATGGTTGAGGACATTTTATTTTCTTGTTTGTTTGTTTTTTAATTCTTGAAACTTGCTCTGAAGAGAACTAGACTTCCCCCTCAAGCCTCAGTTTGGTGAGAAAATAAAAGGAAACGAGAGCCAAAAGAAAATGACAACAATTTTTAAAACGGGGTCCCCATGAATGGCTCCCATCTGTTCTGAAAGCAGAGTCAACCGCTCGTTCTTGCTGGTCCCTTTGTCTGGGCAGAGCGTGGAAACGGCTCTGGGGGGCTGGGGGTGGGGGATGGAAAAATTGAGCTGTAAGAACTTCAGCCACGGGGGTTTTCACTGCTCCGAGAGTGGTGCTAATCCAGTTCAGCCACGGCCCCGTCTGGGTTCAATCTGGGGAGAGAGGAGCTCGACTTCTTTTCCTTTTTTAAAATTTCCAGTGCCATTCGTATTTCCTGTCAACCTGAACTCTGGGAATGCTCTCAATCGTTTTGATGATATCGAGAAACCTCACGCCGCGGTATCGGATGCTTTTTAAAAACAAAAGGAAAAAAAGGATTCGCCTTGCCCTCGCCTGGGTTCGGGACATCAGGTGCGTGGGCTGCTGAGTTTGGGACCATGCACAGGTAGGTTCTGAGGCGCGGGCCCTGGCACGGCGCCTTGTGTCCTTGGCATGTAGCGGACGTCTCTGCAGGCTTGGCTAACCCTCCCGATGTGTAGTTGAGGCCTTCCCAATACGCGACTGTGTTTCATACCTGCAAAACGTGCCGAGGGCCCTGCTGAGAGGAGAACGCTTTGCGGAGACCTTTAGGGAAGTCCGCTGGGACTCCAAGGCCACACCTGAGACTCGCTGCCGCCCGCAGGGGGTGGCTGGAGATGTTCCTGGTGATCTGGTTCATGGCGATTGGTGTCCCTCCCTAGGGACGTTGAATCATCTCGCTGAAGCGCAGAGAAAACCTGCCAGGGCCTTAGGCCTGATCCGAAACGCAAGGAAGTCACCAGTCCAGCTCCAGCGAAGCAAAGTTAGATTCAGGGCAGCGGGGTGGTGTCGCAATGCAAACTCCAGACTCCGGTCGCTGGGATGGGCTCATCGCCCCTGAAATTCTCACGTTAGGGTGACGTTCATGGAGTTGGGTTCAACTGAAGATGACCGATTCTGCTGACCTGGCAGCGACAGCAAGACAGCCAGGGCCTCTCATGACCACCACCGTTCCCCCCCTCCCCCCAGCCCCAGCCCTCACCTCCTGCTGTGCTCTGGGGTTTGAGTGAGGACAGTGGCTGCTAGCTTCTCCTCCAAGGATTGGGACGCATAGTCACGGGCATTTCCAAGGACTGTACCGAAGTTGACGGGGGAGCGGCAGTGAGCCCAAACACAGCCACCATGGTGAGCCTGGCGGGGACAGGTGGTGTTTCCTTCTCTTGTGCACAGGCCCCAGGCCCCGCGGTGAGTCACCGCAACACTCCAGGGGCTTCAGAAAGTTCCTGAAAACAATGGGATTGAAAGGGAATGGGCTTTTCTGAAGCCCCCTGGTATCCCGATCGATCGTGACCAGCCCTACAGGGTTTGAGAGCGCCGGGCACTCAGACGCCGCTGTCACGCCGGGTCCCCGGGGTGGGGGTGGGGTGGGTGGCACCGTCTGTTGTGAAAGCAGAATCGGAGCTCTTTGGGTCCCTGGAACCACAACAGGGATCATTATGACCATCAGGGCAGGCGTGATGACCATCACCCTCGTTTAATGTCAGGGGCAGCCGAGAGCCAGCTTGTCTGGTGTCCTCTGCATCGCTGGCAAGGGATAGTCTGTGGTGCCCCCGAGGGACCCGGCACATCCCTTTGGACGGGAGCCTGCTGCCAGCGTAACGGCCCTGAGTTGGCAAGGAGGAAGCGAGGAGGGCACTCGGGGACTTCCTGGTCTCCTGGAGGCACCTCCACCATAGAGCCCTCCCAACCAGTGCTTCCCGTGTTTGCAAGAGCACGTGACACCGCGTGGATTGTTTAAAAAGGAGACAAAGGATGCTTCTACCTGGCTTCCTCATCTTGGTGTTCCAGGGCTAAGTGTCATTTTCAGTGGTGTAAAGAGAAGCCCCCGTTGTTGGCCGGCACGCGAGAGGGGCACTGGGAGGAGTTCCGGACACTGATGGGGGCAGCATCCTGAGGGGCTCTGCAACTAACCGGAAGGTTGGTGGGTCAAGTCCACCCAGAGGCACCTCGGAAGAAAAGCCTGGTAACTGCCTTCCCCAAAGTCAGCCACCCAAGCCCCTGTGAAGCACAGGTTGGCTCTGACCCACGTGGGGTGGCCATGAGTCAGACCGGACCATAGCTTCTCCCCCACCCCCCCAATCAATGGCAGAAGAGGGAAGTGTGGGAGATTGTGCCTTTTCCGATAAACAACAATGTTTTAAGATGGATTTGGGATTTTTTTTTTTTTTTTAATTTAAGGAGGTTGTGTGAGGGTCAGGCAAATCCTTACAGGTATGGAGAGAATCTGAAATACAGCAGTAAGTCGAAGTGAGTGGTTGTGAAGGTGAGCAAAGGATGGAGAAGTCGGTTTCTTTAAGTTATTCACTAGGGAACCCAGCATGGCTCTTTCTCATCTCACTTTCCCTCCCCGCAAACCTCACCTTGCTGACGTGGAGGGCCAGGAAGTCATCCTGGGAGGCTTCCTGCAGCTGTGGCTGAAGGGACACCTCCACAGAGTGTGCGTGGGAGAGTGCAAGGGGGACGCGGGGACGCGAGAGCCACTGGCTAGAAATAAACATCTCCCAGCTTGGCCGTCATCTGTCCCTTAGGAGGCTTGCTCTCCTCCGTCTCTTTTGTAATGCTGTTTTTTCCTATCAGAAGGATGGTTCCTAGTTTAAGAGGAAAGCCCTTTTCCATCACAGACCTCCTTTTCCATTGTCTGGACGACGTGTCTTGTCCGGCGGTCTTCTGCGGCTGGTCTTGGGAGAGCCGGAAGAGCCCTGGCCAACGCGATTTGGGAAGGTTTCTCTTGGGCATCTGTCCGCCCCCTTTTGCTTTTGTGACTTCTTCATTTAACAATAAATTATCTAAAACGTAAGTCATATTGGTGTTGCTCTCACTTTTTTAAAAAATTTGTTTTGTTAAGAATAATGAGGGGGAATGAAGCGTGTCTCAGGGGTACAGGAAGATTTCCCAGCGGCCACCTGGGCACAGATGGTTTCAAGGGAATTCACTTGTAGGTTTGATGCAGAAAAACAGAACAAACACCCATGGCCATCCAGTCGATTCTGGTTCCGAATGTCCCAGACGGGGTTTACATCTTGACTGGCACAGACAGCCTCCTCTGCCTTCTATGGAGTGGCTGGTGGGTTTGAACTGCTGACCTGGTGTTTAAGACGCTGATGCTTATCTGACTTTCTAAAGTCAAACCCAAACTCACCCCGTCGTCGAGTGGATTCTGACTCATGGTGACAGAGTAGAACCGTTCTCTGCGAACAGACAGCCTCATCTTCTGTGGAGTGGCAAGTGGGTAGGAGCAGCTCAGTGCACAGCCCCTACACCACCAGGACTCCTGCACCTAGAGTAGAAAGGACAGACCCCTTGACCTCTCCTCATCTTCCCTTTCAAACTGTCTTACTCGCTTAACAGGGAAAAAAAAAATTATATATATATATGCCTCAGTCTAATCCAGCCTTCATTTTCCTTTGACCCTTTGTTGTGGGCTGGGAAGATGTCCAAGCACCAGACAGAAGGCCCGAAGCAGGCTGACTGGGCGTCAAGGGCCCACTGCAGGCCTTCAGGGCCCTGGACATCCTGCACATCATTCTGTGAAGAAGGAAAGTGGTGAGGAGCGAGGTTGGCCTGTGTTTTTTTTCAGGTCCATTATCTGTGGGACGGGGCAATGGGTATGAAGTACATTTTTATTTGACACCACTACCCAAAAAACCACTGCCACCGAGTTGATTTTGACTCTGAGCCTAACCTTGATGGGAACAGACAAGACAGTCTCACCGCTCCCTTAAAGCGACTGGGGAGTTGGTCTGAAAGCTCTAGTGAGGAGCCCAGCACCTCACGCACATGCCATTTACCCACGGCCATTGAGTCGGGTGACCTATAGGACAGGGTAGGATGGCACCTCTGGGCTTCCAAGACTTTATGTCTTTTGGGAAGCAGACAGCCTCATCTTTCTCCCATAGTGGCTGGCGTGTTCAAACCACTGACCTTGTGGTTAGCAGTTCAGCACACTACACCATTGGGGCTGTTTGTTTAACCCCCACACCTTTTCAATGGCGAGCGGTTGTCTTGCCTGGGGGAGAGTGCAGAGGCAAAGCAAGAGGGTCCGTGAGAAATATTGAACGTGGAGACCTTAGTTTGTTCCCGCCTCCAAGGAATGGCAAGTTCTTTCTGGCTGTCTTTTGAATGATCTACCTGTCCTGGGGTTTTGACTCAGAAGTAAACATGTACAGGGGTGCATCTTATTATTTCCAGGAATAAAAAAAAAAAGTGTCTCCTAACACAAGTCAAGTCTCACTGATGTGATTGGTTTACAGTGCAGGCTGGCTTTGCCTAGCCTGTTGTAGGACAGAAGTATTCCATTCAAAGAACGAGCTGGACACCAGGCTCAAGGACTGAATGGGAAGATATTGAAAGCGATAAGAGTAAACATCTTACGTGGCATATACGTTGACGTCGAGAGAGAAGCAAAGCTGTGTAGGAATTCATGTTTTCGTTTCTATAAGGAACACTGGTGGTCTGGTGCATTACACGCGGGGCTGCTAAGCTCAATAGCAACGTGTTAAAAGCACCAGCTCCTCCGTGGGAGACAGACGAGGCTTTCGACTCCCATCCAGACGCACAGAAACCCGCAGGGCAGTGTTCCTCCGCACTAGAGGGCCCTATGAGTTGGAATCGATTCTATGGCAGTGAGCTTGACCTTGGACGCTTTCTGTAGGAGCCCTCCTGGTGCTATAGCATTGACCGCAAGGCCGGTGGTCACACCATCAGCTGCTCTGCAGGGCAACGTTGAGGCTATCTGCTCCCAGGCCGGTTCCTAGCCTTTGACCCCTTATATGGGATCGCTATCAGTCAGGATTGACTCAATGGCTGCCAGAGGTCCTTCCTATATCAGATTCAGCTGGTCCCCCAAGATAGTAAAACAATAGATAGAATAGCAGGTATAATTAACAGTAATCTGAGGATAAGTCAACATGTATTACTGTCAGAACAAATGTAATTGTTCCTACGGAAAGTGCCTCTAATCCTTAGACGGCTGCAGACACGTTCTCTGAGGAATAGACTTGTTTGAGTGTCTTCAAAAAAGGGATTCTTTTTGTGCAATGGGAAAAAAATGATTATGAGGTCAAGGCTAATAAAAAAAATTTTTGGAACAAAACTCAAGTAGGCATTGTCCCAAATTATTGAAGCGTTGCAACAAGTTTATGGGAATGCTGCACTACAGAAAGCAGCCGATGTTAGATGGATCCAGTGTTTTTT